CTCATTAGTTAAGTTTTGATGAATAAAAGGTCAAAAGATAATTAGAGGATTTGAGATAGGTTTGAAAGTTATTATACCATAGTTCCTTCTCCTAAGTCAAATTGTGTGTCACTTTCAAGGTCAATACTGTATTTACATTGATTTATTGATATTTATTTTACAATAAAATATTAAATGTGATCATGAGTATGATGGTTAAATAAGAAGTATAACATTTACAATTCCACGATGATCTAAGATATTTTCTAAATTTTCTATAATTTTTATGATTTTATGATAAATTTTAAGGAATTTTTAGAATTTTAAAGATTTTTTAAAAATTATTATGAGTTTATAATGATAAAAATAAAAATAATAAAATAATAAAATGGAAGGATTTGTTAGCCAGCCAACACTTGGCAGCTAACCCAAAAGGTGCTACATGTGAGTGGGAAGTTTAGTTAGGGGAACAATGAGCTGGGCTCAAGTGACTCAAGGAACCCACATAGAGCATGTGTGCATCACTCCTCTTCTATGTCACTAAGGCTGAACAAGTGTGTGGGACAAGGTATGATCACATCACACATGTGTGTGTGTGTAGGGGTGGGCCACTTATTTACTCTTCTTTCCAAGTGTGTCTTAGCTATTTTATTTATGAGAGAATGAAATTGATAACTTTTGTAAGCCTAGAATTCTATTCATGTGAAACTTGTAGGAATAATTAATGTGGGATGAAACTTTGGAGAGACCTAGTTTGATAAACCCCTAGTTCAACATGCCTTGATTCAGTGAGTCCTAGTTAGGTAGTTGACTTGCATGTAATGTGGGTGACCCAGGTTCAAATCTTGCATCTTCCACAAGTTAATTCGACTGATTTGTGAGCAGAAGATGGTGGGAAATGCCAGAAAAATCCTATAGACAATCAAAAAATCTGAAAAATGCACAATTTGACCAAAGAAATTAAAACAATACTAGAAAAAATTGAGAAAAATCAGAACTAAATGAACAATGATCTGAAAATCATAATTTATCTGCAAATACTTATTGATTGATTTGAAATTTGAAATAAAGCTTTGATAATATTAATGAATGATTATATATACTAAAAATGTAATTTTTTATAATAATTAGAGTGAAAAATGAGAGTCAAGGACTGAAGATAGAAAAGAAGGAAAAAAGTTAAATCAAAATAAAATGAGAGATTTTTGGATCAGAGAAATAGAAAATGAGACTTCACTCCTCTAAGGAAGGGAGATGGATGGTGGGTTGTAAGCCAAGAGGCTAGGAGGCACATAAGGGAAATGGAATGAGGCTAGTGAGCAAGAAATAAGGAGGATCTTAGAATCAAGGAACTAGAATCAATAGAGTACCTTTGCCGGTGAGAGAGAAATTGTCAAAAAAATAATATTTCTAGTGAACAGAAGGAAAAATAGAGTGGAAATTAAATTAAGAAAAAAGGAGAAGAGTAATGAAGAGATTGGACTGAAGATCAAGAGGGAAAGTGATTTGGAAAATGAGCAAAATCCCCAAAAAATGAAAGAACTTGCTCCAAAGAGAAGTTTCTTGCTAGTGTGAGAAAAATCCTGATTTCAATGAATAAAAATGATGAAGGATAATTACAAGCAAACAAAATAAAGGAATCAAAGAAGGAGAAAGAGAAAAAAAATATGCCAAAGAGGAGAAAACTCATCAGCATGAGAGAATGCTAGCATGAGAGAAAAAACAAAAAGTTGAGAATGGAACAAGGGATTTAGAACATCAAACAGCCTGCATGAAATGTTAGTAATGTGGAAAGTTAAGAAAGGATAGAGAGGAAGTAGGAGGAAGGGAAGAACATGCTAGAAATGTAAGAAAAACAAAGAACTCCTCCCATTTGTCACCTAGGAAGAAAGAGTGAAGAACAGAGTGAGAAAGTCACTAAATCTGACTAAAAAATCAGAAAATAAAGATCTAAAACATTCAGGAAGAGGTGGAGAATTATTTTATTCCTATTGTAGAAGAAATAATGGAGAGAGAAGAAAGGAGTGTCGAGAGAGAGAGAGAGAGAGAGAGCTTGGGAAAGAGAAGAGAGGGCTGACTCCAAAATGTATAAAGACTAAATTGTCCTTTTTTTTTTTATCTAAATTCTCTTTTGTACCCTAAATATACATGGAGAAATGATTAAGCCCCAGAAATAAATTGAGATCCATATAAAAATTTTTATTCTAATATTATTTTTTCATGAAATAAAGATAAGAATACATACTTTTATCTTATTTTTACTTTAAAATAGCTTGTTATCAAAAACCAAGTCAATGTCCTTTAAAGTTCAAATATCTTCCAAGGCAAAACAAATGTGATTGATACATTAATCAATTCGTTCTTCATAAAGAATGATTATAAGTAATCATTTCAAATAATATACATTTGGTATACCATATAAGCTTCAATGCCAATATTTTTACTTCAACAGTTCACATAAAATCTGATGCATAAATTATTACTTTACATATATGATACTTTTCAGAATTATTTAAACTTATGACAATCAAAATTAATGCAATAATTCGAACAGAAAATTCATTCAAATTCTAGAAGTCAAAATATGAGACTCAAATAAATTATTTTAAAAGTATTTTGTAGACATTTATCATTATTACTATATATTATCAATCAATTTATACTTAATTAATTTATGACTATGTTCAAAAGAATATTAACATGTATTTATGTATGATGAATAATCAGCATAGTTCGACCAATTCATTATCCAATGTGTGTTTGCAATCATCAAAAATTTATATGTTAATTAATGCTCCAATAAAAATTGTTAGAACAAAAGATTAAGATCATATAGCAATTATGACATTAATTGTTTGAGAAATGCTAAATTTATATAGGTATTCAAGTTACTCTGTTCTTATATTTTATGTCATTTTCAGTGTTAAAGTTGCAGTAGTTAGAAATCCAAATGGTAGAAAAAAAATATGATTTGTCTTTTAAGGATTTGTATATCCTCTAAGCTTAAACCAATAAATTTTGTTACTGATCTTTACAATATCTATCCAAATTTATCTATTTCAACATACCTACTAAAAACTTATTAGAGTTAAAATATCTTTCATGAGATGGCTAGAAATAAAGTAATAACTTGAAAAGAAATTTAAATTCAAATCATCTCAAATAATAAATGAATATGAAGTAGACATATTGAATCTTCATATAAATGACTACTATGTTCTTTAATCCCATTTGCTCCCCAAGCTTTCATCTCCCAATATCTGTGTTGGTCCAAGAGATTGGAATTAGCACTTAGGTGACATATGATATTTCCAAAAAAGAAGATTCAACGATATTAAGAAAGGATGTATAAATAGTTTGTACTTAATTAATTAATTCACCACAAAAATGATAAGTAATACTTTCAAGGCATGGGCATCTAGCCTAGTGTTTAAATTTTCATGTTGATATTTTACTTCAAATGTTCAGGCAAACTTTAGTATCCAAACCCTTATTCTCCATTAGTAACATTTTTCATAATTATTAAAAATTTCAACATTAATACATAAAATACAAAATTTAAGTGAGAAATTCTTGTAAATCTAAAAGTCAACAAATGAGCATCAAATATTTCCATTAATTATCATCTAGACACTTGACATTAGTAATATATATTGTGTATATGGAATATTAGACATTATTAAGGCTACCAAATCTAGTCTCTAGTGTTTTAACACAAGGTATCAACATCTAGTCTAGTGTTTAAATTCATGTTGATATTTTACTTCAATGTTTAGGCAAAGTTCAATTTTTACAGTTCATTACTCTTCATCAATAGTATTTATTCATCAAATAAATGAAATATTTTCCTTATGTATATTCGTCATCATCAAAACTTTTAAGTTGATTAAGGCTACTGAAGCCAACAAAATAACATATAAACAAAATATATCTTATAACACACTGTCATAATTTTAATACATTATTGGATATATATATATATATATATATATATATATCCTGATTCAATTCGTTCAAATAATGACGTAGCAACAAAGATGTGATTCAAAGTCAAATAGCACAATTTTAAATTAAAGTCAACCTCACTCAATATGATCCATCTATCACTCAAAAGGTCAAACCTTTCACATATTTTTGCCTACACCTGACTTCTTAATCACCCTCCTCTCAGACTTGACTGAATTTTAGGTAAGTTCACTCCCTAATTTAATGGAATGACCCCAAAGCTTGGACTGTGAACCTATCAACCATCCAATAGCTGCGATCTAAATTAGGCATTGACCACTGATCCCAATGAAGATCAGTACTAAGTTCATGTCCATATTGGCATTAGCGGGTCCTCCAATTGTCTCGGTCGAGTGCTCAGTGGATCCCTCCAATTGGACAGGTTCTCCATAATTACTAATAAATACGGACCATACGATTTTGGACTCAATCGCCCAAACCCCTGGTACCGGCCGTGACCGGCGGGTGCTGTCTCCTAATCTGACCAGCCGTCAGATCCGATCCGGTGGCCCGCGGGACACCTTTCCCCAGACGTCAGCAGCACTAAAGAAGCCGGTGAAAAAAATCTCCTCGCTCGTCGTCAATCAGGACTTTTCACGGGAAGCAGATAAAATACCCTGCTGCTGAGGACCATCGCACGCAAATGCCAGCTAGACTAATCGCAGGGATGGACTATTTAAATCCCCCTCGGGAACGGCAATTGGCGTATTAATGTGGCAAGAGGGAGGCCCTAAGTGGGCCCCATTCTCCAGACCCAACTGGGAAGCCCATTTTGTGCTGCCGAGGCCCAATATGCTATCTTCTGCGAGCCCATTTAGAGCGAACCACTTTCTACATTTTAGAAGCAGAGAGACAGGAGAAAGCACATGAGACCATTAATGGCGGTGGTACCTTGGGCCGCGTAACCACACACAGCAAGCAACCGGCGTTGGGATCCGGCCTTCGAAAGACAGCGGGCACACCAGGCGGCGCCGCTCCTCCGCCACCGCAACGGTCCCTTCGTCTTCTTCTTCAGTTCAGGGGACGAGGGGGTTAAAGATATGGCAGACTTGGGGCTGCTTCTGGGCGGCGCCCTGGCAGAAGAAGAAGATCTCCGGGCAGCTGAGGAGGCAGTTGTTCGCCAGTGAGACGAGCGCGTCCCCTTCCTTCATCGCCGTCAGGGGGCCCGGGATAGGCCCGCAGAGGTAGTTCCCCGCAAGGACCAGCCGCGCCAACGGCGCAACCCCGGCGGCGCCGCCGCCGACGAGGCCCGCCACCACCCTCAAGGCGTACTCTAGCGGGATCATCCCCGAGAGGCGGTTGTCCTCCAGCACCAGCGCCGTGAGGCGCGGCATAGCGGTCAGCATGCCCAGCGGCAGCATGCCCGTCAGCAGGTTGTGCCCCAGATCCACAGCCACGAGCTGGCTACTCATCGGCGCCGGGTGCCACCACCACCACCGCGGCGGCGGCGGGAGAGCGGTAAACTGGTTGTGAGAGAGGGTGAGCTGCTGCAGGGCCGGGTGGGCGAAGAGCGCCGCCGGGAGCTCGCCGGAGATGCGGTTGTGGCTGAGGTCGAGGACCTGCATGTTGGGAAGCGCCTCCACGAGGTCGCCGGCGAGGGGGCCCCGGAGGAGGTTATTGCGGAGCGAGAGCTGCACCAGGGACGGCGGCAACGAGGGGGGCAGATCGCCGGAGAGGAGGTTGTCGCTGGCGTCGAGGTAGAGCAGGCCCGGCATGGATCCGAGCTCCGGGAGGCCGCCGGAGAGATTATTCATCTGGATTTCCAGTCGCCGGAGAGAGCGGAGCGGCGGCGGGGAGGGAATGGGCCCGGAGAAGCGGTTGCCGTCGAGGAAGAGCTCTTCCAGAGCAGGGAGCTCGCTGAGGGGGATCTTCCCGGAGAAGGCGTTCCGCGAGAGGGTCATCCGGCGGAGCCGCCGGAGGACGGCGCCGCCGCCGCGTGGCGGGAGCGGGACGGACCCGTGTAGCTCGTTGTCAGGGAGGTCCAGCGTCTGGAGGTAGGGCAGAGACCATATGGCGGGGGAGAGCTTGCCGGAGTAGCCGGCGGAGTCGAGGGCGACGTCGGTGACGCGGGAGAAGCCGGCGGAGTCGACGGCGTCGCAGCGGAACCCGCAGGTGAAGCTGGCGGCGGAGAATAGGGAGTCGCAGGGGTCGGCGGCGGCGAAGTCCCAGGAGCTGATGCAGGACCCCGGAGTGAGAGAGGAGGGGTCCAGCGCCGCCTTGAGCTGCCTCAGCGCCGCCGCATCCCGGGGGAACGTCTTGCCGGCCGCCACCTGGAGCAGACAGAAGCACACGAGGAGTGTCACTACACCGTGACGGTCGCCGCCGCCATATCGCCAGTGCCGCCACCACCCCATCTCTGTCTCTCTGTCTCTCTGTCTCTCTCTCCTACGGTGCTCCGCCCCTCGGGCTTTGAATACCCTGAGTGCAAAGTTTTGGATTATTTTCAACTTGCCGGGCTGTGGGAGTGGGTGTGGCAGAGTTAATGGTCTCTCTCTCTAACCCCCGCTAAAAGACGGAAATTTACAGTACGGTTCAACATTCCAGAGCCGGGTTTAGATCTGCTGCTACCGCCGGACGCTTATTGGTATGGTTCCCGGTGTGGGGTCTGCCCCCCGCAGCGTTGTTTCTGGCCACCGGATGGGCGGCGGCGGCGAGACTAAGAACCTCATCAGCCCCTTATCACCGTCAGCTATCAAAAAATATCATCTCCCCAACACAGCTCTCTCTCTCTCTCTCTCTCTCTCTCTCAGAGTTAAAAGCTATGCAACAGTAGATTCAGCAGGTGTGCAGACAATTGCAAAGCAGTCCTCCATCATTCGGAGTGTCACAGAAATACACGATTTTCTGAGAAATTACGTCTATACCCACAAATCGAATGAATTACGTATAAATGATGAGGCCTGCCTAACGAGTGACTGCCGGGAAGAAAATAATAAAAAAATATTCTTCGCCCAGCTAATAAATCCTTCTACCTGAGGAGCCCCCTTTCCCAGCCCAGCTAAGCGGCCTTCGCCTTCACGAGCTCCTGCTGGTAGAACTTCTCCTCCGAGAGCGCGCTCTTGGGAGACGTCAGCCTCCGCCCGGCCAGGAGGAAGCGGGCCTGAAAGCGCATGAAGAAATACTAATAGAAAGCACTTGAGGAATCGAAGCTCTGACGGGAGACCATGAAATGCTGTCGTTACCCATTGAAATCCTGAAAGGGCCCACCAGCAGCCGGGGAGCCCGAAGCCCCTGCCGAAGACCGACTGAGAGAGACAACCACAAACATATATCAGTAACTCTCTGTACACTCTATAAATAGTATATATATATATATGTTAATATCTATTTCTATCTATTTCTGTATTTTATGTACATTCAAGAACAGATGGCTGCGGATGAGAAAATAAATAGCATACCAGTAGAAGGCCACCAAAGCAAAAGCATGTGAGCATCGACAGGCTGAGAAACTTCAGATCTCTTCCAGCCTACAGATGATCAGAAGGAGGGAATCACAAACCCACCAAGCATTACTTTTTCTCAATTTACCAAAAAAGGAAAATTAATATCCCAGAAATTATAGACTTCCAAATTTTATTTTTTTTTTTAAGCTTTTAGGTGTGCAGGATTTTTGAGGATAATGCAAGGAAAAATGCAGCAATCATAATTAGGTTCTATCCTTCTAAGCTTCTCTCTCTATGTGACAGTTTTGTTTATATACATACATGCTATGCCACAATAATATCATATCGGGGGATGAAGATAAAATTGAATAAAAAATATTTTTTCAACTCTTATTCTCGAAATCTTTAGTTGACTTCCTATAATGGAAGTTTAAAAAAAAAGAAATTTTTTTTTGGAAGTCTATAATGGACCATAGAAAATAATATACGAGACAGTACGGAAACTTCCACATGGTCTGCTACCACAGAATTCGTTGACTTTCTATGCAGCAAGATAGAGTATAACAGTGGTCATTCAAGATTTCATGGCGAAGGATAATATTCCTCGAAAAAGATTAGGGTTAAACCCCAGCATTGATGTCTGAATAAATTTAACATTACTATTTAGAATCTCTCACGGAGGAAGCATGTTATTGCTCGGATATTCACAGATTTATCTCCTGAATTGTTCACGGATACAAAAGAAATAAAAATAAAAATAGACAGTAGACTACAGAAAATAAGCAAACTTAAGGAAGATAATCCAAAGTTTACCAGCAATGTTCCCTCGAGACTGTGCGTTGGAGGTGTCACTACCAGTGCAATAAAAAATGGGAGCAACACTTTGTGCATCTGCATTGTACGAGGGAGAAATAGGCACGGAATCAGCACCAACAACGTTCACGAAATTGATTAGGCATGCAGATCGAGAAAGTGATTATACCCCATGAACAAGCACTCTAAACCCTACCTCACCATACGTGTTTGCACAGGTAGCTTGAATACTTGTTATATTTATAAATAACCACTGCCCAGAACAAGACAACTATTGCTGCAGTCTGCTAATCAAGAGTGGCTATGGAACATAGGAATGGGATTGACAGTACACAACAAGAACTGGCAAGAGGGATTCCAGTCCCCCAGAAATGATTCAAGCCCAAAGGCTTTCATTAGTGTTCACTTTGTGTCCTTGCCCCTCGCTAATATAAATAAAATTCAGAGTTAAACATGATAAGCAGAGAGTCTTCCCACAGGCAAGCAGAGAGCACAGACTATCCGACACAATCTGAATTCCAGGGTTCCATATTTAGGAAAAGAGGGGGTTTTTCACTAGGAAAAATTCTTTTATGGGAAATCAGATGGTGAATTTTGTAGCCATAGATTTCAGAATAAGGCAATTGGGATTGGAATGAGCTACATCCTTTCCAGTTCTACGGATCACACTTCTGGCCCCTCTGGACATTTGAAAAAATAGGCACCTTCTTTGGCCAATGGCAATATGTTTGAGCATCATTCTTGCGCCATTCGGCTACCTGAGCAATAGCAAAGATGAAAGAACACGAAGAAGCATGCAAGACGATGATGAAGGGGAAGGAGAGGATGCCAGTCATCTTCATTTTCCATTGGGCTCCAAATAATAGTGGAAGGAGATGCAAGACAACAAGAGGTAAAATAAGGTGAGGAACATTACAAAGAGTCAATGGGCTAGGCTTGGATAAAGCTAAACCCAATCCAAAAGCCTCAGGAAGTGCAAACAATTTATACTGCAGTGGATATTAGAATTATGGCCATGTATTGTAGAAGTAGTTTCTCTTGGAGGCTGATCCAGTAAAAGTTGACAGAACACAACATACAGGCAGCGTTATGCCCCCTAAAAGTCAAAGAAGTAAGAAGATAACAACGATAAAATAGGACTTGCTCCAGCCAGAAAAAGGAATAAACGTTTATCACAAATATATCAAGAACAGATGATAATTTTTCCACCTAAATTCAGTTTTGGGATCATTAAAAATAAATGGGAATACAACCAGGAAAGAAAGGCTACCTCGCCAATGACCATGCTGTCACTGGTAAAAATGTATGGTATAAACCAAGGTGCTGATGTTCCAACAGCACCCAATGTCAATCCACTCAAAGCTCCAATGATAATAAGAGACTGTAACAATGTTCGGGCCTGGTTGGATATAACACACCATTAACACTATAAAAAGGCCTTCTTTGATTAAATAGTGAAGACAAATGACCCATTGAACCATCAAACATGCTTAAGAACTACCAGAAACCAGACTATTAAAAGCCAGATTCATATAGAAAGAAGTTCAATGAAAGTTTTGTGCAGCACAGAGTTTCTTATGCCAATTCAAACAGAACTGAATATCAAGCAAGTGAATACTAAATATATGGCAGCTCAATCTTTGAAGTGAACTCTCTGTTGTGATAGATAATTAGATATCTGTCAAAAATAATTTGAAATATATCCTCGAGGGCATTTTCGTCCTCAAGGAGAGAGTTCATGTCATTGGTCTAGTTTTTTTATCTTTTTCAACCGCTATAATTGGGGGAGCTCGCCCTTTAATCTAAGGGAGCCGCCATAATAGTGATGAGAATAGTTTTCCCTTGCCTCTCTCGTTCCTCTCTCTCTCTCCCTCTCTTGGTCGCCCTTGGCTGTCGGGTCATCTTGCCACCTTGTAGTCTTACTGTTTTTCTCGGCCAACTGGTTTTCTCATCTCTCATTTCTCGCCGACCAGCCCCCTTGTCTCGTTTTTTCAACACTCTCAATGCTAGACATGCTTTCCTCATACGAATCTAGTCAACTAATTGGAAGTTCCAAAGTAGTGGGGTGAATATAAATACATACTTGGAGGATTCATTGACCAAATTCCTACAAATGTAAATGTCTAGTGTACCGTCAAAGTGTCTTTGGTTCAGAGAGCTAAATCAGAAGGTACATAACATGCTGAGCAATTACATATTTGACTGCCATGTCGGACGCAACCTTTATGTTCGAATTCATTTATAATTTTCTTCGTGATGCACAATATTTTATGTGATCGCTACTTACATGCCCTTTTTCAAGACAATAAATGCATCGAAACCGCAGGGGAAGCTGTCCTGCTGCCACAATGATAAGGCTCTATTGTCCTCACAGTTGTTCCTATTCACAGTTCCCTCATCAAACGTTTTAAGCCAATCTTCCCTAAACCTCTCATCCAGGCTTTGGCCACTATTCTTTGGTTAACTTGAATAGGATATGCATTCGCATGGTGTTTCTCTTACCAAAAAATTGTTTCTTACGAGTTAGAATTCATCATGATTCAACATGGTTAGAAGTAATGTTTCAAGGAACAAAAGAAAGTTAGATAACTCAGTTTTGATCACTCGAGACATAAGCATATGCATAGCCAAAGATAACATAACTCAATGCCTAAACAATAGAAACAAACCTTTGCCAAATTCCGATTAATTCCATGGATCAACTCGGGCATAAATGACTGAGCAGTTTGTGAGAGTGGCTCACCCCAAACAGTACACATGCAATATACATTAATCATGACCTTTAATGACACAACAGAAAGAAGTCAGCTCTTTATGATAAATTAAAGCAGGAAGCAAGAGACGTCAAACTGAAAGCATAATCCACCTGATGGGCTGCAACTGTTATTGTTCCCATGGATGTCGCGAAGTATGTAAGAAGTGAATAAAACGCTATCTAAACAAGGAAGACCTCAGATAAGTTGGAGCAAAGACAAAATAAATAGAAATGGAAATTTAGGAACTATCAGAGACCTTTGATGTCATAGTAACAAACACTGGAGCGGCAATCTCAAAAATCTGCCGAAGTTCCTCAGGTGACGGAAGAGTCAGATTAAAAGCACTAAAGCCAGCCTTGTTCAGCGCTCTCCCCATCATATATCCAGCGATAACCTAGTTCATAAGGTGAGATGTTGAAACTAATACAGATTGCACGAAAATCTCGGGAAAACTCAGTAGGCATACACAGTGACATGGAGAACAGAAAACTCTTTTCCTCCTGCTCCATTAACATAGTGGGCATATCATGCCAAAAAATTTACTTTTAAAGCAGTAAAGGGTACAACAGAAAGCCAGTGTTGAGATCAGGAATAAGATTCATTTGATTTAAATGTACGTAAAAAGTTGATAAAAAGATACGGACATACTTGTGATACCATCGTTGCCCAGGCAGCACCAGCAATGCCAAAGTTAAAAACACAACAAAGAAGAATATCACCAAACCCGTTCACTGCACTAGCTACTGCTAAAGCCTTCAATGGTCCCAGTGAGTCTTTCATCCCTAAACTGAATGGCCACAAGGAAATACAATAGTTACAAATATAACTCTAGAAGTTTCGACAAAAAATGTGGAGAAAACAAATGATTTTTTTCCAGTAAATTGATATTATGCACGGTTGAAGCAAAAAGCAACTTGGGAGTCTTCATTTTCTACAAATTATTTTTCTCTGATCCACAGAAATCAGTCCATAATCCTTTTCTCTACCTTTAAAGTCATCATTTATTGTTTACATAATGATGGCTCTATCGTTGCAATCCCACACTGCCTGGTACACCAGTATTCACTCAACTAACAACATCTTTCCTTACTACACAAACATGAGGAACGTTTCCCTTCTTTTTATGAACCCCAAACCAGGAAGCACCTATAACACGTCCCGCATTATTTAAATTTAGAAGGAACTACACAGTTGCTTAAATGGAAATATTTTTCTATGCTTCAACAATCTCTAGCACAAGTTTGAATGGGGCCAGATAGTAAGGTGTTGGGATTCAAATGGAAGGTTCTTGACAGTTGGCGCATCTTTGGAAGTATCAAAAGATGGAGGATGCATGATACAGTGGAATAGAGGAATTTTTTTCACAAACATAGGCGCCTGAAAACATGAAAGTATTTCTTCGGAATGTAGATTGCAACAGATTAGATGAAATCAGGAAAGTTTAATCTCAGTTTAAGGAAAATTACATATTTTACCCCATGATAATGGAAAGTGACAAAACCCAACTTTGTTGTTCGTAGAATTATAGAGGCAACATGAGCATTTTATGACGTCATGGTCAAGAATTGGAGATTGACCAATTTGCAAAGTCATACTAAAGGTTGCTGGATGTGAACCGTCTTTTTGTTTCTAAAAGGTTTCTCATCATTCATGGTGAGTCTATTGATTATCCATCAAATAATCTTGTCAACATTTAGTGGAAACGCAGAAATAATGGAGTATTTTCAGAGATCTTTGGATCTCGTAAATGAATAACACTTTTCTCAAAGATGAGAAAGGAAATGAAGTAGGAAAACGGTAGGTAATTCTTACCTAGCACTTTGAGCTACCATCCCAACAAGAATTGCTGGCCATGCAAGTCCTCGAATCTAGAGCAGAATGAGGAAAAAGCCTAATTAATAAAAAAACTTACCAAATAGTAAAATATATGAGATGACATTTATTTTATGAAAGTTGAACCTCAAATAGGTAATTCGAAAAAAATCTTGATCTTGTTCACCTGATATATTTTGTAATCATATGACTCTAACTTCACCTTTACACAACATCTTATAATCTAAGTCAGTATGGGTAGCAAATTTAGATTACAACTGACATTACTGAAGTTGTTTGACTTCCATGACGCCAAAGCACCAAGTGTTTAAACAATCCATGTAGCAATAATTTTTTTGGCATCAAATACACCATCATGCAAAAAAACAACCTTGAATGTTTCTTAGCTCGCATGATGGCCGTTTTGATGCTTGTAAAATTGTGGCTGTGAATTGTTCAGAACTAAGATCTTTCTACAGCTCATAAATATGTTCTCAAAAAGAAGTCATTTTATGACCACAACTACAAATGACTAGCTGTATGGAACTATTGGCGCCCTTAACAGTATATAGCAACTAGCATTGTGGAAAAGACATTCCTTTAGTAACTTTATAGTGTAGATAAACATACATCTGTATAAGAGTTAGCATTTAATTATTCAAAAGGCCATCCATTGAAAAGGGTTATCTAAATAGTTAGCCAATAGATTGAATCATGAAGAATAATAATCCAGAGCAGTGCTAAAATATCATAATATCTAAACGATGACAGAAAAAACCTGAACGTATGTGCTTGCAGCAGGTACTATGTGAAAATTCTCTGGACCAATAAAAGCTGTGCATGGAAAAAGAAACATATAAATTAAGCGAAAAGTGCTCTTCCGAGTTGAAACACAGTCAGTGTACAGATAACTGTCAGAGAAAATACCAAAGACTTTTCAGTATGAAAGGAAACATGGCTCAAATTATCTCAAACTAAGCGTAGTATTCATAATAATATTTATACAAGGAATATGTCAAAAAGAGTATGACGTTGTTTCACAAATAAAAGGGAAGGAACAGGAAGAGAAAACGGATAAGAGAGTAGGCTCTCCGAGGACCAATGGCAATAGAACCTGTAAGATGTGAGAAAATATCATAGAATAGGCAGAAGATAGTGTAATACTATTATTGAATAGAAGTGATAAGAGGCAGACTCTGTTATGCTGTAGGAGAAAAGAAGCACATGAAGATATTGATGGACAAAAATATGTTGAATGCTGAACGACATTTACAAGGTTCACAGCTAGAAGATAGCTAAAGAACAAGAGATTAGATGCTTACCGGTCAACACTTGTGTACTGAAGAATTTTGTAAATACGAGCATTCCCAAGCCACAGGCAAAAGCAATAAACAGCAATATAGATATCTGATGCTGGGCTAAATTTCTATCCTGCATGTCAATAGATCATTAGTTACAACTGTTGCCCATGGCAAGAAATAACACAAATTAAGTAGACCACTGACGAATCCTTCAACAAAAGGAGCAAACTAACACCAAAATGTTATTGCAAGCATCTATGAAACAAGATGCTAACACAATGCCTCTCATTCAATGGAACCAATCATCAAAGATATCCAGAGGTTGTGTTCACAACCAATGGAAAGCAAATGCAAACTTTGAATTCTAATGATAAAAAAAATTATTAAACCCCCATTCCATCGTCTGTTTCGTGGAATCAATGCAACTGTTAATCATTTGGTTAATATTTTTGAAGGAGTGACATTGTCAATCACACCTTTCGAGTTTCGGTTGGCAAATAGAGGAAAAACGAAGACAACAGGTAATATGAACTTGAAGGCATGATTAACAGACAACTTCCAACAATATTGGTAATTTTTAACTAAAAGGAGTGGAGTAACAGGAAGAGGACAGGAGAACATTGAGGAGAAAAGGAAAAGAAGAACAAGAAGAAGAAATGCTCATCAGTGATTTCGTCAACTCCCACCAACAGCCATCAGACTGGTTGCTTCATAGCAACATTCTGAAACATGGCCCCAGTTTTATACAAAAACTATCTACCCTTTTTTCACATTTCCTTTTCATTCATGAACCGCATCGTATATATATAATTGGAGAAGTATGAAATTTCTAACGAAATGCGACAGATACTACCATTCCACCCTCCCCGTAAGGAAGCATTGTTTACTTGGTATCTCCCCGTCAAAACTATAGTTCCATCTAAAATTGAACTCCAGCCGAGGCAAGGGTACACAGCATGTTTCGCGTATAGTTAAATTCACTTATCATTTACCATTCACGTGGATAGTCATATCCTTGACATGGCGAAGATACAAAAATCAGTGGCATAATCATAAAGACAAACACAAACCAGCAACCTTTTTGGCAAGCGAAGTAGCGACCATATTGGAGGTGGCAATGGAGAGGAACATGAACGCATAGGAGAGGTAGTCGCAGATGACGGTGCCAGGACCTGCTCCCGCAACCAGCCGGCCATTGCAGAAGATTAATCAGTTAAATATTGAAATCGCAAATGCTCAGACTCTGAGCAAAAGGTCACCAAACAGAAAACGAGGTAGAAGAGTACCCAAGGCGGCGAGTTCCAGGGAGCTCCCCTGTCCGATAACCATGGTATCGATAAGGCTCATTAGAGGCCCGCACACCCACAACCCCGTAGCAGGCCCTGCGAACGCTGCGATCTCTTTCACTTGCCCCCAAATGCTTTGAGACTCCGCGCTCGCTTCTCGCCAAGCAACACCAGGACCCTCAGCCTCTCCGGCGCCATTCAGGTCCTCTCCCTCCGAATCCGAATATTCAAAAGTTTCCTCCACGGTCCCGCTGCCGGTATCGCATTCACAAACCATCATCCTCCTCTTACGAGCGGAGGCGGCGCCGCCGTTCGCCCCAGCCGGGGGTCCGTTCTGCAAACTTGCGCTGGCTGGAGAAGGGAAAGTGGAGAGCGGAGAGAAAAAGAGGCGAGGTAGCCGGTAGCATTTGGCCGGCGGCCTGGAGAGATGATGTCCATGCCCTGGCACGAGTTGGAGGCGACTCCCCCCTGCTCGCAGCAGCCCCATGGAAGCAGAGAGAGAGCGAGAGAGAGCGAGAGAGAGAGAGAGAGAGAGAGAGGGCGAGCGGTGGTCAAGAATGGAGCATCCATGGCCGCCTCCGGAGGGAGAAGCTGCCCCCATGGGACCCCATCGCCGGCGAGCCACCAATCCGCGTTGGGCGGGTGGCGCCTTCAACGGCCCAATCTCCTCCCTTCCATTCGCGCCTCCCGTCCAAATACCGCTGCGAGTAACCTTTCGTATGATGGCGGCCCTCGAGACGTGGTCATCTCCATGACCATCGGCCCATCGCCATCGTCTCAAGTCTCTCAAGGGCAAATCCGGTATTTCTCTACCTTCGTCCAAACTCCACCGTGGGCATACTTTCTTATGATAGCGAGCCTTAGAGACGTTGTCTGACCCACAACCATCGGTCCGTCGGCTTCCCTCGCAAAGGGCAAATATGGTATTAATAGCTGCTGTTCAGTCTGCCGTAGCCACGAGGTCGGTCAACCTGCCAATCACCAAAAACCATATTACGTTCTGACATATTTACCCCTGTCTTCAAGCTACCAAAGCACGTGGTAGACGCAACCAGGCTCTTTTGGGTCACACATCGTAAGCCACTTATTTCGATCCATATTCCGACGCAAACTTAATAAAAATATAATAACTTTGTAAAGGATTTAAGAGTAATTAGTCTCATGTTTCAATAAAATGGGTCCACTAATCTTACAAGATTTCAATTAAGCTATGTGTGAGAGCTTATTCTTGAGACAGAATCTAGCTTTACTATTGGTCTAGAAAATTATTAAGAACCGAATCATATTTTGAACCCATGACAAAGTCTCTTATTTATTTGAGTTTTTTATTTATAAGTCTTGTATTTTCACTTCTTAGTAGTAGTGAGTCAAGTCAACTCACCAAGTAAGAAGTTCCAACACGTCATGACTAACTCATCAAATGAAAGAAGTAAGTCAACTCACCTTATATGAAGAGGGATTAACAATATCAATGTCTAAGGAAGTGAGTCAAGTGATCTTGTATGAACAAGATTCAACATCCACTACAACAAAAGTTATCATTTGAGAAAAGTGAGTTGACTCACTTTACAAGATGAGCCTCAACATTGTGAGCAAACTGCATAGAAATGTGAAGTGGAAATTTCTTTTTTTTAAAATTTATATTTGTGTGACCCTTAAATATATTGACAACACTCTATCCTAAATTTTGGGAAAACATTTATGTTTTTAGGACTTATTACTTGCAAGATTAATGTTTTACAACTCCCCAGAGGAAGTGAGTCAACTCATTGTTAGGAAGGATATTGAGAGGAATCCTTATAGGACAAAGTATAGAAAGAATAAGCTAGTAGAGTACTCAACTAACCATTAACATGATGCAATTAGTCTTTAGAGAGATTTTTATGGGGTATTTTCTAATTAGTAAAGCCCAAGATTTGAGAAAAATCACCTTATATAAGGATTGTCATCTCTACATTCCCATGTGAGAAACATAATCTCTAAAATCAACATTTCTGCATCCTTCTCAAGCATTCAAGTAGCACACCATCCAAAGAAGTTATGCACCTTTGAGCCCAGGCATATCACCAGAGCAAGCAATGCACCAAAATAACAAGATCATGTGTTCTTTTATTTCTTATATTTGATTGCCATATACTTAGACTAACCTATAGTCGTCAATCTTGAGATGATTAATTGGACACTAATCTGGTTGGTCCCTTAGAATTGAGTCTAGAAAAAGTGTTTAGAGAATGTGTGAGTTAACTAAAGTTGTGAAATCTAGTGGAGGCTGATTGAAGCCTTATTATTTAATGTTTGTATTGACAAGTGTTAGTAAAAATTATAGACACATTCTTGTGAGAGTGGACTAGACCAAATTAGCCAAATTAATATAAGTATTTGTTCCATAAATTGTATGAAACTAAAAATTAGTTTGGAGTCCACATAATGACTAGTTTTTGGCTACCCTTAATTTTGATGATTACAAATAAAAGATATTGAAAAGTTATTGTCTCATATTGATGCTTATTCATACACCTCACTTATATAAAATTGAATATTCAATATATTCAATGGACTAATATATCTCTTTGTCCAATTATTATGATTTGAGTTATAATAATAAAAACCAAGGTTTTCAACCCTAAGATTAAGTTTTTTTTCTATCTTATGGATACTAGAGGATAAAGAATTATAAATGAAAGAAAGATCTCAAAACTAACTATCAAGTATATGCCCATATGTATGAGTCAACAGTCATGCTGACACATATACAAAAATGATACATTTCGTCTAAGTTATATATATAATATAACCATAGTATTGTAGTCTTTATTATTCTATATCTTTCTTTCATGATGTCACACAGGTTCCTTGAACTATCACATGTATTAAATGAACAAGAGAATAAGGAATGTATCAAATTTGGAAAGAATATATCAATTGTGACACATCATACATTTACATAGACAAAAAGAAAGTAAAAACTTTATGACCTAGATCCAATATGAATATCCAATTTTTCTCCTTCAAGTTAGAAATTTCAATTTAAATTTGAATTCAAAAGGCCATAAAAATTGGGAGGTCCAATATTGTTACCACATATTTTGAAAAATAGTAAGTTTTTGAACAAGTATTTTTAACATTAGAGTTTTGAGAAAATAGAGAAACTAGTACATGATGAAGGCTTATACATAGAGTATTATGAACCAAAAAAATAACGAATACACAAAAATTGAACACTCATTATTAAGTTCTTTGTGTCACAAAGATTATCAACTCACCTACTATGACCATTAATCATGATAATGCCTAATTTTTGTATGGTAATAAAAATCACATTAATCAATGTCAAATGTAATAAAATCGAATGGAAAATATTAAATAAATTTTATAATATGTTTCACAAATTCTAGCTTAAACCTATACACTACTCCTAAGAAATTTATGTTCGATGTCCTAACCCATATAACATGATTGTTCTAAGTTTATATCCTTGAGAAATATTTTGTATTTATAGGAAAGCACTGAAAATTTAAAATTAGAAAAAATTATAGAATTTTCTTCTTTGACTTACTTGGATTTTTGGAGAAGGGTGAAAGATGATAATGGACTGATTATGTTCAGCCGAATATCAAGGGCTGTGGCCACAAGTTAAAGGGGGTGGAGAGGGAACAAAAAGGTGGAACCCCAACAAGTCAAGGGCATGGAGGGGGAAGACCCCAATGATGAAAGTGAGTGGCAGTGGTGTAGGAGTGTGACAGATGACAAGCAACAAGCAACAAGTAAAAGGAAAAGCTTGCGTACCCTTTGATCTACATTCCTAGTTGATTTTGTGTTTGAAGTTTGTTACAATAACTTTGTTGTCGCCCTTGTGTAACAAGCAAGGGCAATCTTGCTTTTAGTTTTGTATTTGAGTTTGTTTTCTTGCAATTGGAATGATATCTAATATTTTTATTCTAATTTCGAATGTGAATTATTTGTAAATAATGCACATTCCCCTTCTCTTTCTCCTTATCCCTTCTATATGTACATCATCATTGTTGTCTTCCTACTAGTGAAGATGTGACAATAAGTGCTAATAATTACAAAAGACCAATCTTTCGTACTTTATTTTGCCATTTTTAATTCAGTAAGTATCTGATGACAAAATTTGATATCAAAAATTGGCAATACATGAGTATTGATTTAAACCACTAGAAGTTTAAGACTAATCTCTATTGTCTGAATTTGGATATAAATTTTGAAATTCGATCATTCTGATAACATTGACAAGATTGTGTCAACTATCCATTAGGTTTTAAGGTAACTAAGGAGAGAATGTATGCGATAAAGGCACAAAGTCATGGAATAATATTTAACATAAGATGGATTGGGTCTCTATGAAATAAATTTATGTGCTTTGGGGGCAACTAATTACAGTAAAATTAGCATGTATTCCTAAGTTGAATAGTTAATACTGAAAAATAATTTCCTCTAGAGCTTAAAATAATTAAGTGAAGGACAAACTAGTATAAAATTTTATGTACTTAGTAAAAGAGTATAGAGAAATCTTACCATAGTGTGTCAAAAATTTAAAAAATAATCAAAACTTTTTGAAACCCTAATTCAACCCTCTTTTTGGTGTTTCCAGTCTTCTTTTTCCAACATAACTCAGCTCTCTTTTTACTCCTCCTATTGACTCCTTTAAAACTAACATGAAGGTGTCCAAACTTAATGAATATGTAATCATCTACTTTTAAATGTATAAGCCATTTATGTGAATATAATTTAGTATATTGATATAATATTAGACCTTGCATCATCTTTGACTCTTTGGGTTATTTGTGTTTTCACTTATTAATGGATGTTATTCTAAGGTCGGATAATATCTTTACCACATTGAATCTCTCCTCTTATGTCTACTCTTCTCAAAGTGAGTTAATCATATGTAAGGCAATATCCCTTGTTCTCGATATGCTTTCAACTATGCTACGACAATGTGTTCTTTCTTCATGAGGTTTCAAACTAGCATGATATTATTTTACTCATATGTTATAATATTTATCTCAATTTGGTGCATGATTCACAAGTATAGACATATATATTGTCATGCTATTTTATATCACTGTGAACTCTAGGTATAGAGGTATTTGACTCTATATTAACTTATATTGGAGAGTCAATGTCATAAACTCTAATTTGCATGTAGTGAAATAATAAGCTTAATATTTTAGTTATTTAAGTACTACTTCCAAAGTCAGTACTTGTAGTTTGCAACATTATTTCCATGTATTGAGATATTAATCTTCACATAATCTAGTATTATGCCTTGTGACATGTTATACTATGTTTTTTCAAAACTAATTTGTGATATATATTAACATATTAAGCTTAAGAAAACCTACTATTCCACAATATGACATTATATATTGGCATATTACGTCCAATAGTGTGTTATGTCACTGTCAATTTTGTAGATTGAAATTGTATTAAATATATTGAGTTATCTATAGACTACTCTTAAGT